TACACACTGCATGGCCAAAAGTATATGGACACATGAACATTACCCCCATATGTGATATACCTAATACTAAGACTAATAATTAAACTGTTCGCTTTGAGTACAAATAAAAAACACCAGCTGTCAAAGTGTCAACTACTCGACCACATCTCAGTCCTGGAAATTCCCTGTCTCAAAAAGTCATTCAGTTTAGTCTGGTTGAGTTTTTTATGAGTTATGATAAAAATCCAGTGACTCAATAATTATCTATTTATGTATTATGTCCCTCTGAAACACAAAGCTGTCACCGCCTTATTCCCTCTCGTCCTCCTCCCTCGTACTTCCTGTAACTAAGTGCTTCACCACAAATAACCACACTGTAATCTAACAGGTTTCTTGGGGCCTCATTTATAAAGCTTGCTTACGCACAAAACGGGGCTTGAAAGTGGCGTACCCCACTTACCACACAAAGGTTGTGATTTATAAAAATAAACTTGGCGGGAGAATGTGCGCACCTGTAAGCAAACTCTGAGTCATGCGTGCGCACATTTTGGAGACACTGGGAAGTGGCGACGCAGACAGCGAGGTGGAGAAGTGGAGTCAGATTTTTATTGATGTCTCACACAAATTTAATGTCGCGCTATATCCACCTTTGATCCACGTTATCATTGAAATTAAATCCAGCAGCCTTATTTTGCGCTTGGAGTGAGTGATAATTGTTTCATAAAAACGTTGTAAAATCCAACTCAAATCCTGAATTGAAATTCTTTCTAAATACGTATTTAATCCGCACTGCCTCTAACGTCTCATTGTCCACTCTGTGAGCGCAGGAGGGGGAGAGGACGGTGCGACTGCATGGAATATATTTATTTATTTAGCTAAATATTTCCAGTGCATTTATCATGTCTCAAAATACAGCCATTAAGCACAACCGTTAGCCCTACTTAGACATGTGCTGTTCATGACAAAACCGGCATGAAGAAACGTGTTCGCCTATTACACTTTCATCTTTGAATTGTATTTCAAATTACACGTTGTATTTTGGGACAGGGATACCACTGGGTTATGCTGTAATTCAGGCCGGGTGTCTGATCAGACT